TCCGACACTATCTACAAGCTGGACTGTTTTTTTTGTGTCAGCAGTTTGGATGCTAAGCTGTCTTTCTCTCGCTGTTTTTTAGATCTCTGACTATCAGACAGAAAAGCCCCAGGTCACTGTTGAAGCCACCAGCTCACCGAGTGTTGTACAAGACGCTGACCCGCTTCATGAGGTTCGCACAGAAAATCTCTTCCAAAGGACAGAAGTGCTGGCAGGTATGTTCAAAATGAACAACATGCAAGAGTGATTCTTCAATTAGGGGAACTTTTTAGTCACCTATTAAGATTAAAAAAAAAAAAATGCTTTAAAAATGTAATTATTGCAATTTTCACAATTATTAAAGTTTTAATATGTCTCTTTAAACACATTTTCATTTTGTGGACTATTTAAATGTTAATTTGCTTTAGGGTCTCTATTTTAGGCTCGTCCTTGGTCCAGACCTTATAAAATATCTCAAAATCAAGAAAATTCTACTTTGTACATCTGTCTTAGACCTTAAAACAAGTTTTAGTATTAAGTATTTTTTTAATATATATTTAGCATTTATGTGTAGAATTTCACCATTTTTAACAAAAAAATAAATAAAATAAATCATGCCATGCATTTTACAGAATAATTGGGTTTTTTCAAAATAAGTTTACATTTGGTTATGATGGAAATGAGAAGTGATGAGGTGCATATTGCAGAGTGCCAGTTTAAAGACTAGAAATATAATTCACTGAAAAATTTCACAAAATTAAAATTCATAAATATTGGCCAATTTGGTAAATAATTGGTTTCTTTTTATTTATTTTTTAATGGACTGCTATTTGACTTGTTGTGTTAGAAAGTTCAAGGCTTATCCATGATTTATTATTTTTATTTATTTTTTTTATTTTTTTTTGCCAAACACATTGAAAAATGTCAGTAAAATAATAAGAGTATTTTTTAATGTCAAATAGAATAACAGATTAGAATAGTATAATAGATCAAATAGATTTTTCACCTCTGAAGTAGTCAAAAGTACCCATGATTTTAGTATCACCCTTCATCCATTTTTAATAAATTCTGTAAGCTGACAAACCATTGTTGTCTCTGTGTCACATTTCACTGATATTTTGATTCATTCCATTTGCATCTGTGAGTTTTTGTCGAAGCATTTGAATATGATGTGTACTTGAATATGGTTTTAGATATTATTTTAAACAATATACATTTTTTGACACGGTGTCCTTTTTCTTGGTGCAGCTGTTATAGCCGGCGGAGTGATTGGCTTCCTGTTTGCCATCTTCCTCATCCTCCTTCTGGTTTACCGTATGAGAAAGAAGGACGAGGGGAGCTACGACCTTGGAGAGTGCAAGCCTCCCAGCTCAGCCTATCAGAAGGCTCTGAGTAAAGAGTTCTACGCCTGAATGACCAATCATTGCCAACAGTAACATTGTTATGACAACCAACTCCTCTCCAAGAGTAATGGTGGATCGGTAGCACATCAAGGGGGACACATTTTTACGGGGGAACCTTTACTTATTTAAAAATGTAACAAAAAGTAATTTTGCTTCGGAAAGCCAACCGGGGCTTGTATTTCCTTTTTTTGGGATCAAAAACGTCAACGATTGTTTCTCTATGGTTTTTGAAACCAGTTGTTGTCAGTGTATGAAGGTAAATCATTGCTCACAGGTTTTAGTCATTGACTAGTTTGTAACAGTAGAGGTACGCTTTATTAAAGAACAAGACAATTCCGGGATGTACAGTAAATCCTGGGTTACATCTGATACCTTTAATTTTCCACTGATTACATTTCAGTAACTTATCTCAGTGTGGACTTTATCAGTAACTTAATTGTCATCTCATCATTTTTGTAAAGGGTTTTTCTCCCTTGGATTGTGCCATTATGTTCTTCAGTCAAAATGAATGTTTGTATTTCCATCTGGCCGATATCAAATCATCACACATTTTTTTCAGAATGTTTAAATATATTTTCTTATATCATGTTTCTAATGTAGTCGGTTCAGTGTTAAGTCCCTGAAAGTTCAAATTCTACTTTGCCTGAAGCCAAGAACACACTGCGCTATACTTGTACTCCTTTATTCTCTCTCTTTTCATGTCAAGCAATCATGCAGGTTAAAGTCTCTTCGAAAAATCAGTTGTACTTGACTGTACTTGGCTGAAAGTCTGCAGCATCACAATTCATAGCACTGCAGTAATTTACTTAAATTATTAAAATTACTTTAACCATGATATAAGTTTGCACAAAACCACTTATCAAGGTCAAGAACGTTTTGTTTTTCCATGCAACTATTTGATTCCCACTTACCCGATGCTTGGAAGGGGAAAAAAAAATGTTAATTAGAATAAGATATGGATTTTTTTTCACACAAATTCAGTCTCCATTATGAACAAGTGTAAGAGTCAAAGAATGAATCTTCTATGACAGGTTAACATCATTTACCCAGTAAAAGTCATCAGTATTACTGATTTTACACCCACACTGTTATCAATCAACACATTTTCAACGTTCACTGTTGACTGGAACCCTAATGAAGGCCATTTTTCTTTATTTCATAATATTATCCCTCATGCGGAAGCAGCTTTTGCAAAGATTTCTCCCATGGTTCTGACTCAAGCATGTCAAGCAGTATGTCTCTGACCTTCCAAAGACTCGAACAGTGTTGTTAACAGTGAAGGTGATTAATAACGTGAATCACATCTGCTCATTTTTACCCTTCTTTTCATGTGCATTTCCATTGTTTCTTATAAAGACCTGACCATTTAGAGTCAATGACGTCTCTGTATATGTTAATATACAATAATTTATAGAATATAATTATTTATATACTACATATTATATATAATATGTTAGTTTAAAAAAAATCTATGAAAATGTATATTCACAAATGTTTTAGAAACCCTTGAAGTGCCTACTGTTCTGAAACAGTTCTACAGGGATTTGAGGACATTTGTGCATCGGAATGATGTTAAAAGCTGGAACTGGAGAAATGTGATGAGTGGTAATGAAACAGAAACAGTATTGTATTTCATAAAAAAAAAAACACTCCTGAATAAACATTTTCTCATGGTATTTTAATTACGTTTCTTGCGCGTCGACCTGAATTCACCATGTGCACTACTCTTTGGAGAAACGCTCAACTGTTCAATCGCTCTGTGTGTGTGTGTGCGTGTGTGCGTGCGTGCGTGCGTGCGTGCGTGTGTATACATGATGAATCAATATGCATGCCAAGTGGCTCTCTTTGGACCATCAAACACAAGCTGTGGTGGAAATGTAACACCTCTGATGAAGATTGCTGTGGGATTTGTCCCTAGATGTTAAAGCTCTGACAGGAAAATGTATTAAATGCACAAGTTGCCACAAAGGATGTTTCCAAAGGAATCTCACACTTAGACACAACACCTGTCCACAGTATATCTGTACTAGAAAATAAATGCAGAAACATGAGCGGAGTTGCACTAGTCACTACCCGTCAAAATTACCATGTATTTATTCTTAACA